GCTAATATAAATCAGAATTTGTATTTTTTGTTGCATTAAATTAAATAATTACGTAGATGTCTTATATCATTCGTCTTATTCGTAATTTTTCTTCTAAACATTACGGGAAGCTGGCTACAAGGGCAAGACATCTCCAAGCTGCTCGGTTCGACGCCATCGCTAATAATAATTAGGGGACGTTCATTTTTTTATCGTCTAAACCCATATATCGCTGGCCCCTCTATAGGTTCAAATAGGTTTCCTAACTGTATCAGTCTAGATCTTGATTGTCCCTCCTCGTTTTTGATTCCAACCATCACAGGATTCGGCAAGTAGCGAAATATGCGTTAATTCCATGGAACAGGTGAACAATATGCTCTAGCCAGAGAAAGCTCTGCGATAATATTATTAATGCAGGTATTTCGGAGGAGATGGATATAATAAAATGCGGTTTTATCCGCTCGACGGATCCGTAAAATGTATTTCAGACATGACTGCAAAATGCTGATGTTTCATTCTTAATTACTTAATTATATATAATACTCTGCAAAAATTATTGAAGATAAGAATGAAATGGTGTCAAGTTGCAAGCATCAATTCTCTTCCTCTTTGCTCGCTTAGAGAGTCGTTTAAGGAGAAATTTAAATATTGCCGGAAGCTATTTGCATCGTGATCCTTCGGTGACTGTATTACTAAAGGATGTTGAAATAAATAATTTAGCCTTGTAGTAGCATTGTTTATGTTGTTGAAATCGATTTTCATAGATATCACTTATCACATTTTCCACCTTTTCATCAAGAATTTTGATAAAGAATTTTGAGTGTCTTATCAGAATTACCAAATTTTTACGAGTACAAATATTCCTTAAACAATCGAATAAAGATGCAAATTTTCATATTACTGCTTAAAAAATAAAATATTCGCTTAAAGGATAATTGATGACGTGAAATATAAATTGAATCAAATTTACATAACTAAATTTACGTCATGAAATTTTCAAAAACCATGTTTAAGCAACTGAAGATTTTAGGTAAGAGAGTGATAATTTTTTGCTTTATTGTGTTTATGAAAAACAAATAAAAATTGGCAATATAATGCTGAAATTATAGATCGAGAACAAAACATTTGACTGAATAACATGTTCACTTTTTTGCTTGTCCTCGCATCCTTATACAATCTCGCTAATGCGGGTGCTGCGGATATAGATGTTTGCTCTGTTCTTGTGCCCGTAGTTGCAGGCGGAAACCAGGCTGCAGGTGCACAATTTGTGCGAAGACCTTCAGTACCTGTTGAGAACTGCTATGATCGTGATGCACCAGCTTGCTTCGAAATATTCAAGTACGCCAATAATGAGATGCAGATAATCGCGGATAACCGAGTGCCGTAAGAGCTTTTGAATTTCACTTTCCTTTCGTTAAAAATATACCACTACGACGATAAATCTGATATCTGATTTGTATCTGATTTGAATCGATACTATCAGTAGTAATATCAATAAAGAAGTCATATTAAATTTTAACGATAAATATTTACAATATTTTCAAAAATATTTTTTTTTTTACATCGGCAATCAAAAAAATTTTGTAAAAAATTCAACAATTCAGTGCTTTCGAAATGCAATAATTCGATAACTATTTTCACAATGATTTTTTTTTTAAATTTTTTTGAAAATTTTTAAAATTTTTTTTAAAAATTTAAATTTTTATATAAAAATAATAAATTACTTTCCACTTTTAAGTCGTCAAATGAACCATTTTACTAACATTCATTTAATCCATGGAAGAAATTCCAATAAATACAAAATAAAAAACCATTTTAATTTTGGAACGCCCACTGCATTATTATTATTATTATTAATTTGTTTAAATAATTTCATATTATTCAAGCTTCAAAAAAAAATCAACAAAGTATCAATGTCTTGCAGCACCAACGGCTATAAAGTTCCAGAAAATTGTCAGAAAGATGCTTATAAAATG